ATGAGCTATGTGGATCCTTTGAAAGGGATAGTGTGGCTTTGCCAGATGTTAGGGTGGAGCATTTACTATTTTTCCCGGATTACATTTAGCACGGATGGTGCAAGATTCACAGTAGCTCTTGGTCAGAGAGGTAATGCCTAGTGCTTCAAAGTATTTGTTGAACAGAGAGTTCATGAGGGTCTTGGACAGGTGTGCTGCTCCATGGGCCCATTGTACCACCGCTGGATACATACTCTTTGGTAGACGGAAATTGAGACTAATGGTATATACCCCATCCTGGAGGGTTGCCACTTTCTGTTTTCACCTTTGTTTTTCTTTGGTGTCTGCAGCTGCTTGTTGTTCCATCATGAACTTGAGATCCATGGGTAGAGTCTGCATGGTATATACAGGGGTCTCTTCAGCGGACACTCTTCTGTCCACTTCCCTTGGCTCACGTGCAGCATTTTTGGCAGCTTGGTCAGCTATATAGTTGCCACATGCTTCCTCTGAATTCAGTCTTCCATGGTCCTCCTTTACCTTTAGTATGGCCACCTCTTCAGGAGGGAGTAGGGCATCCATCAGTTCTTTGATAGCTGGGCCATGCTTGACTGTTGTACCAGTTGTTGTGAGGAAACCCCTTGTCTTCCAGAACAGTCTGAAGTAATGCGCCACGCCCATAGCATATTTTGAATCAGTGTAAATATTGGTGCGCTTTCCTTCAGACATTTTGCATGCTACAGTGAGGGCTATCAACTCTGGCAAGGCAATTCCATGTACTGTAGGAAGATGTTTCCATTTTCATCTTTTCAAATCAGTCATGAGGAGCATCTGGATCTTGATCCGTAGAAGGGGCATCTTCACATATTTCTGTGTGATATTGGGGGTAACCAGTTGTCTTGCACTTCACAGTTCGCTTGGTGACACCTTCTGCAGAAGGTTGGTCTTGACCTGCAGTGCTCCATGCTTTGGCCAATGGGCCAAGTTCTTTCCACGAGATCTCTGGAGATTTGGTGAAGGAGACATGAGGAATTGCCACCTCCCAGGGATGGTACATATGATTTACTTCCATGGGTAGACAGTCCAGGGCCACACTGTTGCCTTTAGTATCACAAAACAGGTCTGTCATGATGAGGCGTACTTCTACCAGCTTGAACAGTTCTTCTTCAGAATGAGGGTGAGGTCCTGGAACCTTCCTGAACCACAAGGTGCAATGAAGGAGAGGGGATGGCTGTACATCATGTGGGGCGGTGAGTTTACGTACATTCAGTAGAAACATGTCAGGATCTATGTCAAGCCTGTACCAATAATGTGGTACCCTCCCAACCCCCCTGGGAAGTGGCAGAAGAGTTGCCGGATTGAGTGAGTAGCATCTTTGCAGAGTGACATTGTCAGGCAGAAGCAGAGCTGTCTGCAGGCGGAGGTGTCTTTGTGAAGTGAGGTGTTTTGGCTGAACTTGATTGAGGATCGCAGTAATATCATGAGGTGCAAAAATAGTAAGCTTGTGACCAAGAATAATGTCTTTAGTTTTGTCCAGGGAGCACAGGCTGCAAAGACTGCCCGGAAACAGGAGGGCCCTCCCCTGGCCACAGGATCCAGTTGGCAGGAATAGTAGCCAATAGGGCGTTGGCGGGAACCATAAGATTGTGTAAGAACACTAGATGCATGTCTCAGTCTCTCACATTCAATTATGTAAAGAACAAAGTATTTCAGAAGAATATTTAATTCATTCAGATCTAGGATGTGTTATTTTTGTGTTCCTTTTATTTATATGAGCAGTGTATTTAATCTGTATATATTTATACTACTATGTTTGTTTTCACCTTGAAATTCTGTTTTGGATTCCTCCATA